ATGACACAGATAAATCAGCCCAGTTACAATTCCACTGTGCATAAGAACAGGTTAATGTCCCCTTTTGGGAATGACCGACAGACACTTTTTACACTGGTGCCCATAAAATCTATAAAAAATATGACTCAGACAAGAATTGCCCCAAAGAGTTACGTGGGCAGATTTACTAAGTTCGGAAACTACCTTTTGATTTTTCAGGTTTGATGGTTTTTCCTGTCAAGCGAAGCTCTCAGATGTTTGATGGGTTCACTCTACCTTTAGCCATTTCATATTTTACTGGGGACTACATGTACTTCCGTTTCGGTCCCGTGCTTTGTTGTGCGTGTGAGTAGTTCGCAAGAACAGAAGTGCAGTTTCTGCTTTGTCGTGAGTGTGCCACACGGACACAAGTGCGGTTTGTGTTTTGTCGTGTGTTTGCGACAGATTTGTACTTTTTTGCAGTAGTTAGCAAGAACAGAAGTGCCGTTTCTGTTTGGTCGTGTGTGTATGCCACATAGTTCTATTTCAGCTGCTTGCATTGGCCCATCGAATATTAGTTAATAAAGTTAATAATGTAGTAAGATGCCCCTTAAACGTATTGTTTGTTTAACCCCACGAAACAGAGGTGAAAGCGAGAGGAAACGGAGAAAGGCGACTGTCAAAGAGAATTTACGTTCTAATAGTCAGAATCCGGAGGAAGACCTTGAGCGTGCTAGGCCAAGGAAGAATGGACCAACGTTGGTTTAGTGAAACTGAAGTTGACCGAAGATTACGGACACATGACTGTGATGAATTCGGTGTCGTCTGTGATCATTTGCAATGCCATAAGATGGAGAGAAGAGAGAAATACATTCTGCTTTCAAAATTGAAAGGTTAGTATACCTGTACCTACCCCACCTCCTCGGGAATTAATAAAGTATTACGATGTAGCACCGGCGGCAGCTCTTTCCTACCACACTGTAGGTCATACAATAATGCTCCCGCCCTTGCTTCAATTAGGTGCAGTGAAGAAGCTGAACAGAGCTTCAATCCAACCTTCAAAATCCAGGGCAAGCTGTACTACCGATTAGGAAATCTTCTTCCCACTGCTGGAACTGAACCAAAGTTTGCACAGATTTTTTAATGACTCTGCCACAGAACTTCAGGATAGGCTGAGACTGTCACATCTTTTACGGCCAGACATTTTGAATGAACTTCAAGCTTGCCCTCACAATGTCAATTCATACGTAAAATCTTTCAAATCCGCAACTGAAGTGTGCGCAGAAGACAAAAATGTTGACGTTGTGTTGCATGCCAGCAAGGTTCCGCCTAGAAATGGACACACCAGAACATACAATTTACCTTCATGTGGTGAAGTTTTAGCACTCCTACCTGGAGACCACTCCGGCGATTTGGACATCATACTACTATGTAGATCAGGAGCTGGCAAAGAATTACGAAAGATCAATACGTGTCATCGTTCTTACGATCCCCTTCGCTATGTGCTCATGTTCCCCACTGGATGTGATGGCTGACATCTAGGACTAAAAAAGTCAGACAACAGAACCCTTATTGCCACATATTTTTATGCCTTCCGTCTCCAAGTACGCTTGCTTGATTTTAATATCATATTCAAAACGAGGAAGCTGATGCAATAGTATGCCGTGGACCAGTGGGCAAAAATTGAGGGAAGCC